CATATATACGCTAACCGAACTGAGAATCGAACCCAGGACCCCAGATGTCGACAGCAAACATACTACTCACTTAATCACCCGGTACAATTGATCAGACGGTTTTGCATTCTCCCTACAATATGTAGCACAATCCGTCTTTCCACGCTAATAGCGAGTCACTCCCCTTCGCGTTAGTGTTACATTCCAAGGATTTTACTAGGTCGGAAACAATTCCAACCTAGTTTTACGGTTAACTTTCTTCTTCTTTGATCACCGATACATAACCAAGTTCATCCAATAACCGAATCAAAATCTTCACTGCTACCCTGAAACAAGAATGCTCTTNTATCCCTCATCGACAAGTAACTAAAAAATTCCGCATGTGCAGAAACTATCTGAAGACAAGAAACACTTTTAACTTTTGAATACAAAATACCCAAGCAAACTGGTTTCGTATTTAGTGAATGAGCGCGATGCAATGCGATGTGAACGAATGAGAATTGAACAAGGAGACAGAGAGAAAAACGGAGCGAAAAAGAAGCAATGACTGTTCCACTCGATAGAAAGAAAATCAAAGCGAAAGCGGCTCATTTATCAGCTCAGACATTCCCATTTTGGATGGGTGTGGATCTGTCAAAATCAACGTGGTGTTTTTTGTAGATGAGTTCTCTCATCAAAAAAATTGTATGCGCACGCTGTCAAGATTTCAGCTCCCAAACTAAGATGAATAGTCAAAGCCCCACCCGGATTAGAGACAGGGATGTTAGATGACATACAAGTGAACCGCGAATTCACATTATTCCACTTTATTTGGCTTTGCGAGAGCAACTGATTTCGTTATGATTTCCTTGAAATTTGTCGTTGCAATCTCTTTGAATTCCAAAAGAACCCGGTACCCCGATTCACGTTAACCATGGTTTTTGATTTGTTTTGCTCACACACGCGCACAATTATGGTCAAATCATCAGAGTATCTCGTTTCAATGACGCCCGAGTGTCGATCATTTTTTGATTTTCAGTAAAATATCGAATAAATCTTATGGGAATCGTAGTCATTTCCATCGTGAATTTGCTTCCTTAATAGGTGGTCAAATGAACAGGTACGGATAGAAAATTTTCACTAAACGAAATCACCTGTTGTAAACCCTCGTGTGATTCAAACAATAATTCATAAGGAGTTTCGGACTCAGTCAGAAATTGTGCATATCGTGGCATTTGTCAGAGGTACTATGTACACAGAGCTATCGACCGAAACATGGCCAAATTTTATCGCTTGTGTGACCTGCTGCTAATCTGTCCCCTAAAGAGCACAAGCAGGGATCGATAAACATATCCGCAGACGATGACGAGCTAGCCGAACGTGAACCGAAAATCGGTCCGGTGAACTGCCATTTTAGTCGTGGTGTGGTCACGTGCCCTTTGGACCATGTGGATATCGGGTCGGAAAAATCGATAGATAGCTCTTCAAGTAGACAAACGTAATGAAATTGCCGCCGAACAGAACAGAGCCCTAATTCCAACAACTTTTAAATGCATGCGGTATGAGGAGAGAGATATAAACTGTTAGGTTTCCAACCATAAACTAATAAACGTGCAAAAACAACGGTTTAAGTTGGCTTATATATGGAAAAGTAAACAGTCCCCAATAAAAGCGCACACAACACGGCAGACGGAACGCACATAGTGGTTTCGTCCAACAAGTTCTTTTTTCGGTAAAACGTTTAAACAGAATTGCAATCTATCAGTGAATGCGACCGGAGATTGACGGCATCGGATGCAGTGACAAATATGTTACAGGCACACACATGAACAGTACACCAAATCAACCCCCTTCNTCCTTATCCTGCGTTGTTGGTGTACACTGGAGATCGCTCGTGCATCCGTATTCCATTCCCCAGACATCAAACAAAAACGTATACAAACAACTGTTCAGAACTATGAGCGATGAACAGGAACTAGTTCGTGTGAAGATTTACGATCCCAAGAGGCGGTCGCGGTGTTAGAAGCTAAAAATGTGATGTGTAGTAGTGGTCAAGCCGTTTATGTCACAATCACCGACTGACTTTGGATCCCAGGATAGGCGGTTGGAACCCCTCCACCACCAAACAAACCACTATGTTAGTGGTGCTCTAAGTTGTTTGACACTCTGAGTCCCGTAGATGGGGTTTCCAGTTTCCGCAAGTGAACACTATGACTATGAGATTTGCTCCTTCTGTTGTTCACCACTCAGTGATAAAATAACGGCGATAGAATGTTTCCCTAGAGCTAAGGAGCTAAAGATTGACAGTTTTCCATAATGAACACGATGGAATATGAGGTGGGGGGGTAGTAAGCTTCCAATGGGGTTCATTCAGAAAAGGTTTCCACACGAAATAATCGGTATCCGATTTCCGTATTCTAGGCACAAGTAATGATTTAATGCAATAGGGTTCATTAAAGATTAAAGGCTCGGATCTGGGACACTTCGGTGGTTTACAAGCGATTCACTATGCTGCAATTCTCGAGGGTTCATTGTGATAAACATTCGACACTGACCAAAGTGGTTGACAGATCTTATCTTTTTTATAAAGCATGCTGGTATCCATCACTACAAATGTGCTCATCGACTGACTAATGGATTACACATCCCTGATTCTTTGATGCAATAGAAGAGTCGGTCGTTTTGTTGCCAGATACGGGAAACAGTGTTTTCAGTGAAATAAACCATGACAGAACTCCAATGGACCAGGAAAACTCCGGAAGTACCACACAGACTGATGAGAAATACCTTGTAGATCGTTATATTTCTCCGGGGTTAAAGCCTGTCGTGGTTTGCAGCTGCACCGTTGTCCAGGTCAATACCACCCTATGTTGTTGGGGCCTTATGAGGTTCGACACTCCAAGTCAACTGTGCAGCCCATCCCTCATGTATGCGGATGACATCAAAATCTGCCGTACAATCAAGGATCCGAATGATCGAAGTTGTCTTCAAGCGGATTTGATCAACCTGGCTCAGTCGGTGGACACCTGGGCTCTTCCAGTCAACACCACAAAGTGTGCGCACCTGCACTTAGGGCGTGCTGACTCAGAGGTAGTCTACATCTTCCAGGGAACCACATTTCGATTGGGTCTGTGCCAGCGCATGGAGCATTCTATGGCCTATTCGGAGGTCTTTCAACCAGCTCACGATGTACGCTTTCAGGCTGCTGTACACTTCCCATGTCAGACCAAGACTTGAGTACGGTGGTGCGACGACATACCCCTGCACGGCCGGTGAACTGGCTAAGTTGGAGCGCGTGCTGCCACTAGACTCGTTGTTGGACTACGCGGGACCATCTATGAAGGTCGTCTACAGGCTACTGGTCTGTTCCCAATTGCGTATCGGCGCCTCAGGGGAGATCTCATCTGCCTGATCCTGAGAGGTGATATGGGCCCGGAGCTACAACAGTACTTCCCTTTACGGACAGAGCACCGAACGCGGGGACACTCTCTCACGTTGCGGAATCTTCAGTCAGTTGGTCTACTGACTCTCGCAGAGGTCAACAACACTCTGGAATTCCATTCCAGCGACCGTGGTGACAGAGGATAGATGCTGCTTT